GCTGCCCAGCCCCAGCCGCAGCCAATGACGACCGCAAATAGGTCATAAAAAGGTCTATTACCAAGTTGTAAATTTTCTTCAAACAAAAAGGAATTTACTGCAATTCCTTGCGGATTTTGCACATAGAGCTCGCGAGCGCCATGTTTTTTCTCTCCTTTCTCTCCTCACTCTCCTGTCTCTCTCTCTCTCTCTCTCTCTCTCTCTCTCTCTCTGTCTGTGCTGCCCTCTCTTTCACTCATTCTCTCTCTCTACCCCTCCTGTTTATCTCTTTCTTCTTTCCTTTCTCTTCGAAATCCATCTCCTCTGTTCTCTCTTTCTGTGTCTCTCTCTGCCTCTCTCTCAGCCTCTGTGTTCTCTCTCTATTCTCTCATCTCTGCTCTCTCTCACACAGAGACACAGACACAGACACACAGACACACAGACACACAGACACACAGACACACACACACACACACACACACACACACACACACACACACACACCTCTGATAGGAATTACTGGGCATTTTTGTTTTTGTTTGGCTCAAAACCTCTGTATACTTGGCCGCCTTGTGGGAGGAAGATGAGTGCAGGCGGTGCTCGTGCTAAGTCTCTGGGGGATGTCATCCCCACAGCGCCTCCCCCAGTCCCACGTCTCTCCCTTTGCTGGTCACTTGGCTTCTCTCCTCCTTTCCCTCACAAAAACACTTGTCCCAAAGGAATGCCAGGCACTCTCCGTTTTTTACTCGCTCATCTCAGGCAAGCCACACCCCAAATCTTGTCCAGAAAATTGGGCTGCCCAGGTCAAGAAATCACAGGCTCTTCTTGCACTTGGCTCCAGCCTCCTGGGGATTTTTGCGGTGGGAGAGCAATCGCCCATCCCAAAGGCCATAAACATCCCTAGATACTTGTCTACCTCTCCGAAATACCATTTTGAGTTTTTAATCTATCACCACAGGAACGAAACCCCCATCCCCCAAGGTGCTAAGGTTCTAAGATATAAAGACTTTTGTGGAATTTAATTCCAGTCTTCTGTGCTCTTACTTCTGCCAGCCTCCCTCCGTGTTTGACCATTGAAAAATGCTTAGTGACTTTCTGGAGAGGTGAGGGGTTTTATCTGTTCAGGAAAAGAACAATCTAGATTTTTCTTTCCTCAAGGGTTGGAATCCTATTTCCTTTGCTTTGTCAGTGGGAACCTCTCTGGTGAACTCCACCTGAAAGTCAGTGTCCTTGGCTCACCTCCAACATTCCCTTCATGGGCACTGCCAGCCAGCTGCCAATGCCTGCCTGAAAGAGGTCACTAGCTTGTTCAGTCTTTTCAGAATATTCTAGCAAGACGTTTCTAAGTATAATCTCTTTACCAGAAGTATCTTCAAACCCACTAAGTAACTAGTGCGCATGAACTTATTTAAGCAGAAAATGAACAGCATCCTTTTGTGCAGGCCATTTGTATCCCAAGAGAAAGTTCTGATGACCTTGGCAATTTTAATTAAAGTGCTTCTGCCACCATCTGTCAGCAAAAGTCTTATTTCTTGAAAAGGCCGGTAGGCCTTCATTTTGCTGGTCCATTAAAATGTGTGTTCCATTAAAATGTTTTCTCTCTTCTCCTTTCTACCTCTAGCCATCCAAGGATTCAGCAACCACCACAGATATGGAGGACAGACACTGGATATGAAATCTTATTCACTGAATTAAACAGTTATTACACAAGTAAATGGGCACTCGTGTTCCTTCCTTGGTTCAGAAATTTTACATTGCTAATACACATGGAACTGGGTAAAGAGATTGTTCAATTCTAAAACATTCTAGAAACTACTCTCATTCAGCTCCTCTCTACCCAAATAAAAGTAGACTTCATCACTGCCTTTGTAGCTTGGAGAATAAGGGAACAGACTGCACAGAAAAGGCAGCCATGTTGCACTGTTCAGCTGCTATTCAGAGGCAAGCAATGTGTTATGGGAGTTACAAATGGTACCCTTGAACTGACTCTTCTCTAAAAGGAGTAAGAACCACACCCTCTTTTTGTGTTTCTGGCTCTTGCACAGTCTAATCACTTAGAGTGAAGGTTTATGTAGGAAAAAAACCCAAACAAACAAAAACAAAAACAAAATAACAACTTAGTTTCTTGCTGCAGTACTTCACTGTTTACGAATCTGAACCAACCAGAAAAGCATCATGCAGCGTCTCCACAGTCCCCACGCTGGTTCCTCAACTGAGACACCATCATGGGGTGGGGAGGTCTAACCACAGCAAGAGAGCAGAGAGGAAGAGAGGGAGGGGAAGAGAGGTATTCGTGTGTGCAGGGAGGGATTCCTCAGGTTTTAATTTGGAGACAGTTCTTTCATAGCTGCAGAAGGAAACATCCAAGTCTACATTTATTACCAACACTTTATGTGTGAATCTATGTCTATGTACAAATTTATAATCTCAAAACATCAGTATTGCAACAGTCTGCACATGAGCTAGGATTTTACCATGGTTTAGGGGGCCAGTGTGGCTCAAAGATGCATTACTAGAGCAATATAGACTGCCTGAATGTCAAAGATGCAGTATTTTTACCTTATTTTTCATCTTTAATTTCCACTCCCACACATCCACTTAGTAGCATTCTTGAGCTGGACACAGCAATTTTTAATTTGTTTTTATTCTATGAGTATAATTTTTTTGCCAGCATGTATATATGTGCACCACACTGGATTCCCTGGAACTGGGATTGTAGATGGTTGTGAGACATGGATGCTGAGAATCGAACCCTGGTCTTCTGCAAAAGCAAATGCTCATAACTGCTGAGCCATCGCTCCAGACCCAGAAATAGCACATTTTAAAGAGTCCCTTAAATCAAAACAGTTTAGAGAGCACTAGTTTTCAGGTAACTTGTGCCTAAGGCTGTTTCCCAGCCAGGCTCTCAGCCTGAGGCACCCTTGTTCTGTTCCAGCCAGCATAGATTCAGGCAGTACACAAGAGCAGAATGTCCCCAAATCCAGCACTGGCTTTTGCAGCTGTCAACTCTGTGCAAATGTTTAAGCCTTGGCCACTCCTGACTTAAATCGTCTTTCCGGGCTTAGGTTAGCAAATGTCACAGCCTAGCCTCTCCCCTGTGTGAAGAGCCAGGTGGGGATTTGCCTCTAACCCAGCCAGTACCAACGCTGTCATCCACCAGCACCTGGCAGTGAACCTGGCCCCAAACTAAAGAATCTTATTTTCTTACCCATGCAATATAAACCACCCTGGAAATGAACAATAAAACAAAAACCAGTCTTTTAAAGTAAACATGTCTAACAAAAAAGCAGCCAGCTCTCAATGTCTACTTTAAGGTATTTTGTTTCCATTTTTCAATGAGAAATGAAACTTTACTTAAATTTCCCTTTCCCTTCCTCTCTTTTCTTCCCCTCCCTCCCCCTCCCATGTATAAAAAGGCAGCTGCATGAGCAGCCCCAAATGGGGAATGGATATCTTGTTAATAATAGATGCCAAACACCAGCTTCAACTAGGACTCTATGGGATTAAGCTGTGGTGTAACCTGGACTCTGGGTCATCAGGCCTAGGACTTGACGAATCATTTTGAAGTTCAAAGCTGTCATAGTATCATACCAGGATTATTTAATACAAGAAGCAGATTGGATACCCAGCCCACTCTGGAAGGAAACCCCAGACCATCATTTATTATTATCATCATCATCATCATTAAACAGCTTGGGAAATGTATAAGCCACACCAGATTATCAAACAGAAGATGAGAGCAAGTGAGCCCTGATCATTGTTTGTGACTGGTGAGGAGAAGGTGTTTTCGGCGCTCAAAGATATTAGCTCTGTTCTTTAAGGAGGTACATTTCTTTATTAAAGAGCTATGCTCTGGGGCGGTTGTTTACACTCGGAGTTTCTGCATTTACACTCAGGGCTTGTTTCAAATAGGTAAGGTCATGGCTTTCCTGAAAAACAGCAGAGGATGGACGTACCAACCGACATCTGAGATGAACACAGCAAGCTGGCTTAGGAGGAACATGCGAGCAGTGCAAAGAGAATACAGATAAATATGGCAACTACTTGAAAAAGCAGAAACACGGAGCATAGAGACATAGAAATCCCAGGCGATTACAAGCAGGGTTCAAAATGAAAGCAAGGCCACTTGCCAGAGTGAAAAGTTAATGAAAATGTTGCAGTTAGTTTTCAAGTATTAATTCTCTCGATTATTCAAATTGCCATAATTTGTATGGATTACAGAAACACAGCTAAATGTCGATTTTGACATTACCTTTAAACTCTAGTCACTGGCACAACACTCTTCTAAGTTTAAGGAAGCCCAGAGTCTGAACAATACATTGCACTCTTCAGTTAATGTGCTTTTCCAATATTTGGCCCAGACTCTTCCCTGACAGACATTTACAAAATGCTCAAAGAAACATTCTGGAAGTAAACCAGAAGACATCTGAACAATCATTACAAAAGCAGAAAGAAAAATATAAATAATACATTTAATCACATAATATAAAGTAAATATTCTGCAGGCATAATTTTTTAAAATTATGAATAGACTTCTTTTAATTTACTCATTTACTCACCATAAAGATTTAAAATGTTCAAGTGCACTTGTTTGATTAATAAAGCATTTTATATTCAATCATTTAGTGTTGATCGTTAGGAAGTTTACGTTGTTGAGGCAAATCACCAGCTCAGACATTAAAAACTACCATTATAAAAATATAGCTACAAGGTCGGTATCAAATTACCCTTCTGTAGGGCAGCTCAAAGGCTGCTTCTATGCGATACTACAAACTATTAAAAACAAAAAAACCGCCCAAATCCCTTTCAAAGCGCAGAACCCTCAAGAGCAGTGACATTAAGGTAGCTTGAAACACAGGTAAAGTCCTTTCCAAAAAAGAAGAGAGGGGAAAGGAGGTTTCCACCAGCATATGCTGATCGTTAGTCTTAATAGTCTGTGGTAAAAAAAAAATTTAAAGCTTAGAAGTTAATTTGTGGGGCCTTCGGCTCCATCTTCCTCCAGCTCTTGGGCTTCCTTTTTGGGTTCTCCGTCCTTCGCCTCCGGCCGCGAAACTGGGAACTTGTCCTTGTTGTTCTCCTTTTTCCATTTCATTCTCCTGTTCTGGAACCAGATTTTTACCTGTCTCTCCGTGAGGGCCAGGGTGTGCGAGACCTCGATTCTTCTCTTCCTGGTCAGATAAGGGTTAAAAAGGAATTCCTTTTCCAGCTCTAGGGTTTGGAATCGGCTGTAGGTTTGTCTTCCTCTCCGTCTACCAGGAGCTGCTGATGAAAACAAAAACAAAAAGAGGAGGAAAATTAACGGTTGATGTCTCTGAGTGCTGATGGAAGTTTCTGGGATGGGCTTAGATGGAATACACAGTGGTCTTGAATTCTGACACAGACACAGGGTGTGCAGGCAAGAGAGAGGCAAGGTCTTTCTCAATTATTCTGTGCCCATCATCTTTTACATACTTTTTTTAAAGTCCGTATTAGTTTATGTCAAGAGCCACAGTGGCTACACAAGAAGGAAAAGGAGGGGGAGAAGGAAAGGGACAGGGGAGTTTTAAAGCTAGAACGTGAGAGGAAAGCAGATATTTCTCCCCTCCTTCAAAAAAAAAAAAAAAAGTGCATCCCAACCTTGTGGTCTCATCCAGGGAAACATTTGAGAAGGAGACGAGCTCTGATTTAAGTGGTCTGGGTCCTCGCCAATATTACCACTGGACGATTTACAGTCAGGATATTGTACCAGCTCGGCCTCTTGCTGGGTCGTAAAAATCGGCTGTCTCTGTAAGTTATCGTA